AGGGGGAGGGGGAGAGGTGACAAATGCCGATAAAACCCTTTTCTGAAGTGCAAGCACATTTTATATATATGGTAAAAATGTTTATTGAGTCAGGGCAAATAGAGGTAGATCACATTTAAATTAATAGACTGCTGAAATGGCTGGTTTTCCATCTGAATCATAATGGTTAGAAATAGAATTATCAAATTTTATCAGCCAGTTTATATGTTAAATGTTGACATATAACTAATGGTATATAAAAGAGAGCTCATTGGCCACTTTGCATGCATTAAAAGTTTAAGTTGCATGTCCTTAATTCTGTGACTTTTCCATAATGTTTTATTTAAATTATTTTTTCATATAATATACACTTTCCTATTCCTCAACTCCAGTCAGACACATAACTACCTATTTTTCATCATAGACACACCCACCCCCTTCAATTTTAATTCAATAAAGTATTCTAAAATATTTTTCTTTGAAAGACTTTAGTTTCCAAAGTAGTTAAAAGCATTACAAATTCAGCATAAGATACACAAATTTAGCCAATGTTACTAAGAGCAGACAATATTTTTAAGAAAGCCTCATTTGCTGGGCTGGAGAGAGAGATGGCAGACTGATTAAATGTGCTAGCTACTCTCACAAGCCAGGCTGGTCTCTTTTGGCCTCCATAGGTACCTCTATAGGTGTGGCATATACTACACACACACACACACACACACACACACACACACACACACACACACACACACACACAAGTAAGCACATAAATCTTTAGAAAAAGGATGCCATATTGCTTTAGGCACTGTACTGGGTGGCTTTGTGTGTCAACTTGACACAAGCTAGAGTCATCAGAGGAAGGAGCCTCAGTTGAATAAATACATATATGAGATCCAACTATAAGGCATTTTCTCATTTAGTGATCAGTCAAGGAGGGCCCAGTCCATGATGGGTGGTGCCATCCCTGGGCTATTGGTCCTGGGTTCTATAAGAAGGTGGGATGAGCAAGCCAGTAAGTGGCTTTCCCTCCATGACATCTGCATCAGCTTCTGCCTGTAGGTTCCTACCCTGTTTTAGTTCCTGTGTTGACTTCCTTCAGTGATGAACAGCAATGCTGAAGTGTAAGCCAAATAAGGCTTTTCCTCCCCAACTTACCTTTTGGTCATAGTGTTTCATCATAGCAATAGAAACCCTAACAAAGACAGGCATGGAGAACTAGTTTCTAAAAGTGCCAGTGAATTAAAATTTGACCACAGAAAATCTTTTAGATAAATTTACATTTTCAAATTCTTTTTAACATCATTTAAGCCAGACAAAAATAATTTTATATTTAGATAAAATACTTCATAGCTTTACGAATCAAAACACAGCTTAAATTCTTTTGCTGCCCAATTCATTTTCTGTATATAGGATTGCACACATTAAGCAGAATTTGAAGTTGTAAGAAAGTGACTCCTCATGAAGATCCAAGGACAAAGCAATCTTTGAGTCCTGCTCTTCACGTCAGTAACTTCCGAGAACACATTTGCTAGCAGTCCCAAATATCTTGCAAAAGAGTTAAATCTAAATTATAGTTTGATGAAATGTAGCAGATTAAGGTCACCTGTCCACATGGCTAAACATTAAGAGCATAATCAAGCCTTAATCGCATAGCAGCAACCTGGGCTTTCAGAAAACAGAGTGCCCCACCCCCACCCCCACCCCAGTTCTAGAGTTAACTCTTCCATACCCGCTTTTCAGTGAAGCCTGGTTTACAAAGGGACCTTGAATAACTGTCCCCCCTCTCAAAACAAACAAACAAACAAACAAACAAACAAACAAACAAACAAACAAACAAGCAAGCAGAGGCAGCAGCACATGGGGGACAAGAAAGTCTTAGCGATTGGTGCTGCATTGACTGAGGTCTGCAGCCAGAGCCATGCACAGCATGGCGTTTGATTGTGAACAGCCTCTTCAATGGCAACTGAGTGGTAAGTAAAGTGAAGTCAACAACAACAACAACAACCACAACAACAAAATGCCACTATGTGTCAACGTGTCTCAGACTCTGATGAGTCCAAGAGTCTCTCAGCAGGAGACAAGGTAGTCACAAGGAGCGAGTTGTGTGTGCTCTTCCCGAATGGGGTGGGAAACAAAGAGAAGCCAGAGAATGCTGAGAAAATATCCTACATGCTTCAGTTAGCCTGGCTCTTAAGTTGCTGGTCTTCTAGCATGCTTTCTTGCAGTTACACAGTATTTTAAATATTTTCTATTCTAGCTTCCTCCAAACTATGTTTTCTTCTTCTTCTTCTTCTTCTTCTTCTTCTTCTTCTTCTTCTTCTTCTTCTTCTTCTTCTTCTTCTTCTTCTTCTTCTTCTTCTTCTTCTTCTT